GTCCACTCAGCTCGCTGCGTTACGACCCAGACAATCCGCTAGTCTCAACCTTCAATCTCTTTCACGCACACAATCCTTCTCATATTTCTTCCCGCATATCATCCTCTGTCGAGATGCGCACCTCCGCCGTCATCGTTGCTGCTGTTCTCATTTCCGCTCCGACGTTCACCGCGCAAGTGGTTTTTTTGAGGCACATCGCTACATATATACTCACGATCTAATCACAGCGCACTTCCTACTCCGCCTATCAACCGCGGCTCTGAGGAGACAGCTCACTACTTCCCGGCTCGCATTCAGCACGAGCATGGTCTTGGACACGAGATGGACCAACACCCTACCCCCTACGCAGGGTATGATGGACAAAGCTATCGGCGTCCGCGATCCGTCCGCCGTTCTCCCCTGGCCTTTGAGCACAGCATCGAGCGGTACCCCCATCCCCGGTATACCTACTCCCGTCAAGCCAACCGTATCTATGGCCGCACGGAAGGCGAGGCTTTGCCGGCCAAGACGATCGTCACTGCTGTGAAGGACGCAGCCAAGTACGGTGCCGATGTGTTAACGTACGGCACAGACGCGTGGCAGGCATTCGAGGCTGGTAAATCACTGTGGAATGGCACTAAATGGAGGTGAGTCAACAACCAGTGTACGTATTCACTATGAGACCTACTGACTGACGTCGCCTCTGATAGGAGGGAAGACGACGCCTCCGGCACGGTTTTGCTACAGTCAGGAGGCTCAACACCGCTCGTGCCACAAGGCTCTGGAGCTATCTCCACTCAAGGTGTCGTGCAGGTTGGGAAGGACGCCGTTGAGATCGGCAAAGCGGTCCACGATGCATGGGATGCCGGGAAGGATGCATGGCACCAAATCAAGGGCCGGTCAGTGTGTTCGCTATCGTGTGCGTGTGCGCAATATGATGCTCAAGCCATACCCGCGGCCCAGTCCTACGGACGCCGGCGCCATGTCTTCTCAGAAATCCTTAAAAGCAAGGCACGATGTCCATGATGGGTATGAAAGTGGCAAGGATGCTTTCGAGACTGGCGACGACGCGTATTATCAGTTCAAGAGCCGGTGAGTTCCTCAATAATCACTAATACTGGTTTACGAGTGAGATTAATAGCTCGCTGACCCCTTTGACCAGCTCAATGGGCTCTGGCGCCATATCGGCCGGCCAAGTCGTTCATGTGGCGAACGATGTGTGGACGATCGGCCAAAATGCCTATGGTGCATACAAGGCCGGCAAAGACGCATTGAAACAGCTCAAGTCCCGGTAGGTCGCTCGAACCTCACGTATGATACACAATCCACGGCGTATCTGACCCCTGATAACAGGCCTACGAAACGCTCTACCTCGGGTGCACCCTGGGCAGGAAGCGGCGCACTGCAGATTGGTGAAGATGCATACGATGCGTACAGGGCAGGGAGGGGCGAATGGCACGTCGGCCGTGAGGAACCCCGCGCGCTGTTCGATCTGGAAGAACTCGAGTGAGGGATGCGTTGTAGTGCGTTGTATGTACTGCCGAGCCGCCTTGGAGTGATCGAATGACAAATGCTGACTTGAAAAATGCGCCACCAATCGAGTGATCGACGCCGATCCTGATATAAGGCGAATGGCGGTACATGCACCCCGCCACGCAATGCGAGTTGCGACGCGTGGCCATCATGACGCGGACGATTGGGTGAGTCGATAACGGCCTCTCATGAGGGTTTCCCGAGGAGTCATGGGCGGGGCGAACGTCAGGGGCAAATCTACTCTTCCTTTGGTCCTAGTACGTCACTACGGCTCGACCTAGCCGATTGATATTATTCAACGTACGTTGCTCTGTCTTTCCCTGGTCAGGTTACCATCCCCGAGTTAGTATCCATCTGGCACAATAGATACTAGTAGCGCTTTCATGGCCAGCCTCTCGAAATGGGAGGCTGGACCAGAGCTCTAAGGAGACTAGGCCAAGTCTGGTGGGAACTTTCGACGGGAGGTTCAGTACTTCTGCACCCGAGAGTCCGAGACCCCGCCGGGGCGTTGTGGGGTACGAGTGGTACATCGGTTCTCCCACCAGTCGCGCCATGTTTCCGGCGGCACAACCCGGGGAAACATGAACAATGATGCCTGGCGCCAGTGACGACGCGGTAAGAATGGATAAGTACTGCAAGCACAGAGATAATAGTTCCTCCAACCTCTGGCTCTGGTACGTTTTCCCGCACCATGAACAATATATGGGCCGGATGCACAGGCCTCAAACTTGCAGTGCTGCCAAAATTGGAGGACTGCAGTACTGATCAAGGGAAATCGTGCATTCGGCCCCGGATCCCATCATTCCCTTTGCGGGGCTCCACATCAGCACACGCCCTTTCCCCGCTCCTCCAAGCGCCCTCGATATGCCCGTCAGAACGAACGGACCGCATGTCTGTGCCAACCCGGACCGCTCTTGTTCCCAGCATGATCACAGCGCAAACCTTGCGCCAAATTGTTCACACTGTATCCCCGCTGGAATATAAAGGACATGTCTAGCCGAGAGGCAACCCGGACTGCGCTGTCCTCTGGCCCTTTCCTCCACCGTGCGTGTTGATATCCGGACAAGCAGTGCGACTATACCATGGCCATCCCTTCGAATCGCAAGGCAATCTTGCTGGCCATCTTCATCGCGTTTGGTGCGTAGTTTACAGCCGTTTATGTTGCCTAGCTCATAGTGACATGTGCATGCAGGCGGCTTCCTGTTCGGCTACGACATTGGTGTCATCTCAGTGTGTTTTGATTAATGCATATCCTCGTAGTTTCTCTAACACGATATAATCTAGGGATGTCTGATTATGCCCGATTTCATTGACCGCTTCGGCGAACAGAACGCGGATGGGTCGTTCACGCTGTCGAGTTCCCGGCAATCCATTATCACGTCTCTGCTATCTGCCGGGTATGTTGTGTCGTCTCCTCTTTGACGCGCAGCAAAAGGCTCATCGAGGCGTGTTCAGAACGATTGTAGGTGCCATTGGCCAAGCGTTCACTTCGGACCGCTACGGCAGGCGTGGCTCCATCCTCACTTGGTCACTCATCTTCACTGTGGGCACTGTTCTCCAAACCGCCACAGTGCATTCCCTTGCCCAAATTGTCGTTGGCCGTTTCGTTGCTGGGCTGGGTGTAGGTGCACTGTCGGGTGAGCTCGGGTCATGGTCGTGCCTAACGCACCAACTCACTGCGTCCTCTAGCCATCGTACCCCTCTACAACGGCGAGACAGCGCCGAAAGCGCTCCGTGGAATGCTCCTCGTCCTGTACCAAGTTCAGATCTTCATAGGCATATTCATCTCCTACGTGATCGACCTCGGGACGCACTCTATCAACGGCCCCGCGTCTTGGCGGATCCCCGTCGGTCTGCAGATCGCGTGGGGCTTCGTCCTCCTCTCCGGCATTTTCTTCCTCCCGGAGTCACCGAGACACTTGCTCGGTACGGGCAGGGACGCGGAGGCTCGTAAAGTTGTTGCTGAACTGAACAGTGTGCCCGAGGACGACCCCATCGTCGTTGAGATTCTGGAGGAGCTCGAGTTCGGTATCCACGCGGAGAACGACGGAGGGAAGGCGACCTGGATGGAGTGCTTCTCGTCGCGCAACCTGCTCTGGAAGCGTACGATCAACGGCATGATGCTCCAGTTCATCCAGCAATTGAACGGGCAGAACTTCTATTGTAGGTATCGTTGATCCGTCCTGTTGCTCAAGTCTGACGATATTCCCTAGACTACTATGGAGATACTTTCTTCAAGAGCGCGGGCACGCAGCTAAGTGCCTATGTCATCCAGGTCATCCTCGGCGCTGTTTCCGTTGCCGGAGTTCTCCCCGCTCTATACCTTATCGACACTTGGGGTCGCCGCAGGGTGCGTTGCTACGTCCCTGCTAGTCTGCATCTCTTCTGACTACGCATCGCGCTTTTAGTCCCTCATGACCGGTGCCGCATTCGAGGCTGTATGCGCGCTCATTGCCGGCCTGGTCGGCCACTTCCTTCTCGCGCCAGCTGGCACTCCTATCGACGAACTGACGAAGACGGAGAAGATGGGTGGCAACGTCCTCATCGCATTCGCCGTCCTGCACGTCCTGGGCTTCTCGGTCTTCTGGGGCGCTACACCCTGGGTGTACCTCGGCGAGTCATTCCCGTTGCGTGTCCGCCCGAAAGGCATTGCGCTCGGATCCGCAACAAGTGCGTACCACCCTGCTATGCCTCGTGACCCATGCTGATCGACGCATCTTCAGACTGGGTGTGGAACTTCCTCCTCTCGTTCTTCTCGCCCAGGATTGCCGACGACATCGGCCCTCTCATCCTGCTCATCTTTTGCGGCATGCTCGTCTTCGGCTTCGTCTACGTCTACCTGTTCATCCCCGAGACGATGGGCCTCTCGCTGGAGGAGGTCGACGAGCTCTACCGTGCCCGCATCCCGCCATGGAAGTCGAGTGGCTGGCGCCCCGCTGAGAAACACATTCACGATAAGGTGGGTGCGGATGCTAAGGTGGACTCGGAAGTAACGGAGCTCAGGGAAGAGAAGGGCAAGTCTGACGAACCATGATGCTTCGTATGAAATCACGACCGTTGCTACGTACTTTCATTGTACTGCTGTTTGTATTATAGCCAGTGTAACAACTTGAATCCATGTCGCTTCTTCTACCGTACTCTCAGTCTCAGACCTGCTAGGTACCGTAACGATGGTGACCTATGGGGGTTTGACATTGGTCACGCTTCAACATTACTCACAGATCCCACTTGCCTCCGTCGTGCCATCTCCTCTCCCTCGGTTGTGCTACTACTCTAGCTGCGTGTTGCCCTATCCCAGTGACTGAGCAATGTCGAGATCGTGCTATGATTCGGTTTGTTTACAAGCATGGAATGCCCCGCTGTGTAGTATCGGCCGTCGAGAAAATTGAGCTGTCTTCGTGGAGGTCCTTCATAGATTCCCTCGCTGTGTTCTCCACATCCAGTGGCTGCCCTTTTACAATTGAGAGAGCTTGCAAAAAGAAAAACAATGATGAGAGTGGGATTCGAACCCACGCCCTTTCGGACCAGATTCCGAGTTCGAATCCCACCGAAGAGGGAATATGAACCTTAGTCTGGCGCCTTAGACCGCTCGGCCATCTCACCTTGCATCAGGATGTGTTATGAGACACTACATAGGGAATCATCATTGATCCACTGCCTACAAACTTGAACATGATACTGCCTCAGCGAGATCTTAGCGCTGTTCGGAACAGAGAGAAGGATCAGTCGATCGTGTTCGCGAGGGGGCTTTACAACGCATACCACATATGACGATCCGTCACTCCTCCTCGTCAGCGTCAGCACAAAGTCCAGGAGCTCACCACCAACGGTGTCGAACAATACATCAAACCCCCCAATTTCACGCGTAAGCTTGAAGTCGTCGTGGAAACGTGGGTTTCCCGTAGTTGCATGCCCTGTCACTACCTAGGCCCCCCTTCGAGATGCTTGCAATTCGCGTCCGAGTCCGCGGCTCCGTACGATTTTGCGTCCCTCCCCTGAGCGCGCTGGCAGAATAGCTGACCCACTGCCCCGGCTGGGGCAGAGGCGATGATACTGTCTCCAGCTTCGATTTGACCAGTGCCAATGAGGCCCTACGAATGTAGTCAAGCTTCTACGTTGCTGGCCCTTCTTGCTTCTAACGCTCACCTGTCGACTTTTTTCCCACGCTCCGAACCTCACAGGGGGAGGCATAACGGACGTGCGGCAGTTCTCAGAGCGCACAACCACTACATTACGACTCTCGTATACTAGGCCCTGGCCCGTTCAAGGTCGCAGAAGCCCAACACCTTGGGTACTGAGGACGTATGGGCGACAACTCAC